GGTGATACCAGCTGTTGAACAGGTGTTACATCTTTTCCTCTGACCAGTCAGATTTTGTGACACCATCAGGAATATGGGCTAAACAATGTTTCCTTGTTCCAGACCTCTGACCGCCCAACACACTATTGTTCAAACACTGTTTTTTTTTAGGATACTTAAAGGCCAGTGTGGAGGATTTAGTGGTATCTAACAGTGAAGTTGCGGATTGCAGACCATCTGAATACAGCTCAGCCTTCCAAGCGTGCAGGAGAGAGTACGGTGGCTGCGAAAACTCATGAAAAAGCACAAGGCCCTATCTAAAGCCAGTGTTTGGTTTGTCTCTGTTGGGCTACTGTACAGTAGAAACTCTGTAGTAGCCCGCTCCCTCTGTAGGTACAAAATGTTCATTCTAGGACAATAAAAACCCAACAAGTCATATTTTCAGGTGATTATACACTAATGAAAACATATCTATGAATATTTTATTCCATTTCTGCCAGTAGATCCTTCTAAATGTGACACACTGGACCTTTTAAAGTAAAAACAAAATGGCAATTCAGTTCGACTATCAGGCTAATTTAAAGGTTTTTGCAGTGATTATTTAAAATATATCTTACCACAAATCACAAATGTAGATTATATTGATAAAGCAACTTATCTGTTAATATTTCCTGTTAATATTTAGTCAAAGCATCAGTTACAGGTTACAGATTTTACTGTAACAGGTGTACCTACACCAACATCTTACTGCTCTTCTCACAGTGGGCTAAAGTTGAAACATGATCAGCCTATGTGATTGGCTGAGTGCTGATCATGTGACTGCAGTTACAGGAGGTGTGTTGGGAACCCTCCCAACATGCACTGGGGCATGTTCATGTATTTCTATGGGTGTCATGTTTCCACTGTTGCATAACCCTTAAACAATTAGATATTACCAGTGAACGTGGTTCCATAATGGATGATGTTGAGTGCATGATTCTTCCCAATGGACATTTTAGAGACTTTTAAATTGTATCATAAGCCTGCTATGAGAATGAAATCTTACTAAAATCTCTTAAAAAGCTGTTTTAATTGCATTAACAATCTCCAGCAAAGTGAGTTATGAAGTTAATCATCAGTTAATCACAAGTTTTAGTGTTCAAATGACACATTTCCATTTGAATGTCAGATTAAATACATTTTGGCTTGGTTCTCTTTTAGTGTACACACTTTAATTTTGTTTTATATTCTATCATGTATAAGTGTATAAACTCTAAAAGATTTAATTGTTATAATTACACCAACAAATTATAGTGACTTCTTAGTTACCTGCATGTTCTCATCTAAAATCATAAATATATCAATGCTCTTTCATTGGCATAAATCAATTTGTACGTTATATATTATTCATGAACATCTGGATCATGATCCAGCAAGCTTTCAATAACCAACAGGTTCGTTGCTCTGACAACAGTTTAAAATCAATTTTAAGAAGCTTTAAAGCAACAATTGTCTATTCTAATCTGGACATTTATGCATGCATGCAAACAGTGCCCTGCACTTTTTGTTATGATATATTAATCCTAAAAAAGATGGAAGTAAAAAGCTTTTATGCATGCGAGCACAGGCGACTTAAACCAAAACATACAGGAGTCCCTCAGTCAAGACTGAAGAAAAAACCTGTTTTGTTTTTCACCCTTTTTACATGCGTGTGTGGTAACAACCACCAAGAGCCAAGATAAGCTCATCGCAAACGCAGACATTAAGACTCGTGTGTGTTTTTAATGCCACTCTCTGCTCTGATACGGTAGCCTACTGTGTGTTCACACTGCCCCACTTCCTCGCTGCAGGCGCAGATTAGGAAACACGCTGTGTGTTGTTTTGGGAGGTGGGAGGAGCGGCGCGGTCACAACAGCAGATCTCCAAACGCTGTGCGCAGACCTCGCTCACCTACATGCGGAGGTCGGGCTGTTTGGAGATCAGCGGAGCGCTTGTTTTGACGCTCACAGACGTCCTCCTAAAAGTTGTTTCCCCTCGCTCGACCTCTCCGCTCGCGTGTCCTCTACATGGACTGCGTGTTTCAAACGTCGACATGGACGGGGTCGGATTATAGCTGCAGGGTTCGGTCGTGCTGTCAGGTTATTCGTATGGCCGGAGCTTGTTGCAAGTGTCCGGTCTCTCTGTCCGTGTTCAAGCGCTCTCTCTCGGTGGCTCCGCGGGGCTGCGGATCCGCTCCTCGGTCCCTCCTTCTGGGCTGGAGGCTTGGGGAGCGGGGCCTGCAGGAGGCCGCCCGACCCTCCAGCGCCCTCAGACCCGCAGGCTTTTACCGACACACCACCTTCCTCTGTCTCTCCTGCCAGGAGTCCATGAGTGAGAGTCTGCGGACCTGCTACCTGTACCTGAACCAGACCAGCCGGAGTTTTGCAGCTGTGATTCAAGCGCTGGACGGGGAGTTGAGGTGAGTAACTGGGAGCTCCATGTGAGGAGGGGTGTGTCTGCTCTGTGGGCATGTTTTCTTTCCTGAGCGCAAGGGGCGTTGGCTGGGGCACTTCTCTTTTCCTCTCCAGTAATGTTCTGTGTGACATGTGCCAAGCAAAAAGATGCATTCAAAAATATGTACACAGCTCAGACTGCAGTCCACTTTAAGCCCACTGTGCGCTTTGGTGTTGCATTTGTCTTATTACTCCATTAAAAACTCAAACTCAACTCAAATGATGGTGTGTGTATAAATAAATATTTGTTCTCAGGCACCCAGAATGAACAAACGTTGCATTATTTTAGGCAGCAGCCTCAATAAACCAAAATGCGCTCCAGTTGGAGCCTTTTGTGTGGACTTGAGTAGTGACAGCTCCACTGATTTCGAGATTCAAGAGGTTTATTGTCATATGCACAGTAAGAAACAGTGGTTTATATCATACAATGAAAATCTTACTTTGCCCGACTCCCTTTACACAACGGTAAAAAAAATAAGACAAATACACAACACAAATAGAAAAACAGAATAAAGTTAAAATCTAAAATATAACTTAAAGTGCAGAACAGTGTAGCATTTATGTAGCTGAAGACATTTCGGTTGATTTGCTAACCGGCTCAGCTCACTCAGTGTCACTCATAATAATAATAATGATAATAAAAATAACCAGGTACAGTGTAGAAACAAATGCTTTTGATGCAGAAGGAGATTTAACGTGTCTATTAACATTAAACCACCAGTAACAAAAGTCTGAATGTGGTCAGATTCTCTGGGGAATGTGTGATGACCTACAGCAGGAACTGCTAATATTACACACAGGCTGTAAATACATATCTAAAGTGTGTGTGTGTGTGTGTGTGCATATATCCCTGGTCAGAGGGAGTCTTCAACATATAGACTTACCTGATGTGACTATTTTTGTCCTCTTGTGAATCAGTGATGAGGCAGCTTTTCAG